CATTAAGTTTTTAAAAATGGGAAAAATATATTGACCTTTTTGGTGTGTCCTAAATTTGGGATTTAAGCATGGATAACAGGAAGTTGGATGATAGGATAATCAACATAAATAACTACAAATTGGCTTTAAAAAAATGTCACTTTCATTCTAAACAGTTTCTCCCTTTCCATATCTATTATCACAAATCACCTTAATCATATATCAACCCTTTGATATATTTTACCAAATTAACACAATCCTTACTTCTGCCAAAAATATTCTGTAGATCACATCAGTTGGCTCAAGCTACCATGTTTTGAAAACTACAGGCATACCTCAGTACTCAAGTACTCAGTGCTTTGAAATTTATTGAATTTGGTACTTAACACATTTTGATATGAAAATTTTGTTCCAGTTTGTCTGATACTTGACATGCAAGCTAGAGCTTGTCAGTGTTGGCTGCCTGGTGATGCACTACCATTTTCAACTGAAACAAAGGGTGATGCATTAGCCACATGGTTTGTTTGGTACTTTTTTTTAGTATTCGTCATTTCTCCTAGAACAAATTGATGATTACCGAGGTAGCACTGTATCATTTTGAACACATTATGTGAAGACCCAGGTCCGTTGAAAAGTCCAAATTTCTGGGAAAGGTAGGATGGTAGAAAAGGAGTGAATGTGGATGAATTCAATTAGTGCACCAATGGAAGGTTTGACTGAGGACAAATTTCCATAGAAAAAATTGATCTACAGTATATGATCACTAAGAGTTGATACTAACATTGATGATACACATCAGTCAAGATCAAGCTGCTGACAATAAGAAATTATAGTAAACTCTACTATAAACCTCTTCTGAAGTAATGAGGTTGAAAATAGGAAACGTGTGAATCTCTTCATATATTGCTGGATTATATTATATTTAGCTATATGCTGGTGAAAACTAGGTTCTAACACTGGAATGTCATTAATGGTCTATTGAGGGAATTTTAACTACATGCAATAGCAATAGCACTTAGACTTTTATACTGTTTCCTAATGCTTTACAGACCTCTCTAAGTGGTTTACATAGTATATTTCCCTGATCAATCTGGGTCCTCATTTTACCGATCTCAGAAAAATGGAAGGCTGAGTCAACTTTGAGCTGCTCAGAATCGAACTCTTGGATTAAGCAATGAGTCTCCCCGCAATACTGCATTCTAACCACTGCACCACCATAGCTCTGAATGACTTAAGTTTACTGATGCATGAATAATTTGAATTAAATCCCACAATCTATGGGGTTTATTCCCAAATACTCATTCATAACATTATATTAACTAGCAAAAGTGGTATTTTTATTGGAATGAAAGGTTCTCCTTTTGTCACATAACAATAATAATTAGTTATAGTTATTCAAACATTTGGAAAATAGTTTAGTTTGCAATCAAAAACTGTATCTGGTTCTTCTTGGAATATCTAATCATCTGCAAATGCAATGAGTGCAATAAAAAGAAATTTAGTGTCCTATTTCAAGTTTTACATTCATGTTACCTCAAATTTTTGCAAGAAAACATAAATCTTTTCTTTAATGTGCAAAGGTGAGAAGATCTGAAATGCTCATTATATTATAGTTATAGTAAATATAAAAGTAGCAGGTGGGTTATGATTGAGCACATTGGTGGAATTCCAAAGTCACTTGGCCTTACCTGGTGAGGCAACAGGCAGCAACCAACAGGGTATATTGTTTAGCTTTAGTTTGTCAGGATTCCATTTCTGGATTTGAAATTTATCACAATGCTCATGGAATGACTGACTTCTCAATTTCAAGATCAGTGTTGACAGAAAAATAGAACGAAGGCCTCTAGAGATGCTACCTCCGAGGGACCAGACAGAATGCAAATTCTTACTGCACTCCTGCAGAAACTACCCCTTTGAAGTGTACAGCCTATGGGAGCCTGATCCCCTGTCAAATGTCATCTCTCCTGACTTTTTGGGATCTATTCCAGACCTTCATGTATCCCACTGTGTTGCACAATAGAACCCAGCCATATCACCCAGGGACCTTTCAATGTTGGGTTCCCTGAAAGGCAGGGTTGAGAATGTAGTTACACACATCTGGGAACAGTCAAAACAGATGAAAGCAGGGAGGCTAGTGGAAATGTGTTCAAGACCTATCCTGCCTCAAAAGTTTGGATTCAATAGTTAAGTGTCTATGGAGATTCTCAGCCATCCAGGTTATAGTTGTCCCAAAGGTGCTTTTTTCTTGTTTTTTTATTTATTTTATTTTGTCAAACGGTTATGAATATTCAAAATGGATACAAATAAGAAAAAAAAAGAAACAGTAGGACAGGGACGGTAGGCACATTGGTGTGCTTATGCACGCCCCCTACAGACCTCTTAGGAAAGGGGTGAGATCAATAGTAGACAGTCTAAGGTTAAAGTTTTTGGGGTTTGGGGAAGAAACCAAAGAGTCAGGTAAAGTATTCCAGACATTGACCACTTTGTTGCTGAAGTCGTATTTCCTGCAATCAAGTTTGGTGCAGTTTACCTTGAGTTTGTATCTATTGTGTGCTCTTGTATTGTTGTGGCTGAAGTATTCATTGACAGGTAGGACATTGCAATATATAATTTTATGTACTATACTTAGATCGAACCGAAGGCGGTGTAGTTCTAGGTTGTCTGGGTCTAAAATTTCAAGTCTGGTGGCATAAGATATTCTGCAACGATTAGAGGAGTGGAGAACTCTTCTTGTGAAATATTTCTGGACTTTCTCAATTGTATTAATATCAGATATGTAATTCAGGTTCCAGACTGATGAGCTGTATTCAAGTATTGGTCTAGCAAATGTTTTGTATGCTCTAGATAGTAGAGTGATATTACCAGAGAAAAAGCTACGTAGGATTAGGTTTACAACTCTTAATGCCTTTTTGGCTATGTAGTTACAATGGGCTCAAGCACTTAGATCATTTCAGATGAATACTCCAAGGTCCTTGACAAAGTTTGGTCATCAACAAGGTCTTGACTATTCAGCTTGTATATTATTTTCTGATTTATTTTGCCAATATGTAAGACAGAGCATTTATTTGTTGAGATTTGAAGTTGCCATTTGTTTGACCATTCTGATACACAGTCGAGGTCTTTTTGAAGGCTAGCAGTATTGTCGGTGGTGTTGAATAGCTTTACATCACCAGCGAAAAGAATGCAGTTGCTCTTAATATGATCACAGAGGTCATTTATGTAGAGTATGAAGAAAGTTGGTCCTAGAATGCTGCCTGGGGGACACCACTGTTGACAGGTACAGAATTTGATAGGACACTCCAATTTTGACCATTTGTTGCCTGTTTGACTGGAATGCTTCTATCCAGTTATGCAGGTGTCCAGAGATACCATAAGATTTTAATTTTAGGAGTAGTTTATCATGTACCACTGAATCAAAGGCTTTGCAGAAGAAGTCTATGTAGATTGCGTCAGTTGCTTTGCCCTGATCAAGTTCCGTAGTCCATATGTTTTTGCAGTGTAAGAGTTGCAGATTACAGGATAGTTTTTTTCTGAAACCAAATTGTTTGTTAGAAAGTAGGTTGTTTGTCTCTAAATGGAGGATAATGGATTAGTTAATAATTGATTCAATGACTTTACAGATGATGCAACATAAAGAGATTGGTCTGTAATTTTCAACTAGGCTGGGGTCTCCCTTTTTGAAGATGGGGATGACCGTGGCCAGCGACCATAGGTTAGGCAAGGAGCTGGTCCTGAAAGATTTTTCAAAGATTATGCTTAGAGGTTCAGCTATGGCAGTTGATAGATTTTTTAAGAAGTGGGCAGATATTCCATCCGGTCCAATAGATAGGGATGGTTTTAGATTGAGTAATGCTTTTTCAACATTGTCTTCTGTAAAATCGATATGTATTAGATCATTGTAGTCTGTGATTCGACTAGGAAATATTGGGCATGATCCATTGCTGTTTACAAATACTGAGCCAAAGAATGTGTTAAAGAGGTTGGCTTTAATGGTGTCATCGTTGCAGTCTTTACCATTAGGTCCTTTCAGGGGTGGGATGGACCTTGAGTCTTTTGTTATTTACAAAGTTGTAGAAAGCGTGGGTGGAAATGGTGCGTAGAAGGTTTTCCTCTTGTTTAATGTGATAATTGGTGCATTCAGTCTTTATCTGGAGGCATAAATTTTTGTATCGGCTTTTAAAGTTGGCAACATGACCAGATTTGTTTTTCCGCCAAAGGGATTTCTTTTTGGATTGGAGCTTCCTTATTGTTATGGGTAATTTTTTTTTTCTGGTTTTGGGAGTTGTTATTGGTACATATAGTTTGATGACTCTTTTGACTTCAAGTAAAAATATGTTGTAATGGTCTTCAACAGTATTTCATCCAGTGAATAGAATTTGCCAATAAAGAGATGAGAGATCGTTGTCTAAGATCAAAGTTGCCTTTTTTGAAGTTATAATTGGGGATCCTGTTGTTATGGTGATTTTTGTGAGGATGTATGTTGAGACAAAAGTCAACCATGCTGTGGAAAAGGGTTCATTAATTTGTAGTCTGTAAATTGAATTCAAACTGTTGCAGAAGATGAGATCAAGGCAGTTGTTAAGTCTGGTGTTATTGGCTACTAGTTGTTCCAGTCCCAGATTTGTTACAGCATTGTAGAAGTTTGCATATATGCGTTCGGTTGTACATTCGTTTAGGATCCAGTTAATACTAATAATAAAGTCCAGTTAATACAGTTAATAATTTATTTGAAGACGTTTTGCTTCTCACTTAAGAAGCTTCTTCAGCTCAACTGTTGGATTCAATAGTTCCCCAGAGAGAGCAGTGGATCTGCCGAAGCCTTAAGAAAATGTATCGCTCGGCAGAAAATCGGAGAAAAATATTTTTTTCGATTTGTTCGTTTCACTTAAAATTGTCCAATAGCGGCCGGGAGGAGAAGAGCCTCTGACTCAACAGCTTTGCGCCCCCTCCCAAGACAGCACCAAGAGCTGAAGCAGCCTCCAACGCCAAACGCGGGACAGAAGAAAACCGCGGGCGAGGAGGGGGGCGGATTTGAAGTCACCCATGCGCGATCGCCCGAGGCCCCTCCTGCCTTCCGGAGGAGACATAAAATACCCTCGCCGAGGCGCGCAGCCCCACATTGAGAAAACTGAGCCATTGGTGAGGAAAAGCGGCCAATACCGATCCAGGAGAGGCAGAACAAGCGAGAGTCTCACACAACACAAAAGGTGAGCAGGCGCCTGTCCCGAATCTCACCGCTTTCTTTTCGCCCCTTTCTTCTCCTTTATAGGAAGAGTCGCGTCTACTCGCGGGAAATTCGATCGGATTGAGTTTCCCCGATGCCTACTACCTTTTCTGTCCCCTTTGGGTTCCTTCAGACCGAGGGCTCCTCCTTTTCTTCAGCAACCAGTTCCTTCTGAGAAAAGCTGCTTTCCATCCAGCGCCGCTTTATTGCCCTTTGAAAGTTCGCCACTTTTTCCCGCGCAATGCTGCGGTGGAAGAGTGCGGCTAAGTTCCTTTTGAACTTTTATCCCCGCCACTTAGCTTCACAGGACCCGGGTATTTAAGAAAGACGCGCCGCCTGCTCTTAATATACATTTATTTCCTCTAGTCTGAGACCTTAGTCATAGCAACTGGATTTCTTTTCTTTAGGTTTGAAACATTTCGCTGCTTATCCAAGGAGCTTCTTCTAACTGATTAGTTGGATAAGCAGCGAAATGTTTCAAACCCAAAGAAAAGAAATCCTGAGAATCTTCATCGATTTATTTCCACTTCTTTCCAGAGAAATATTCCCCTCCTCTTTTTTCTTTTCAGGAAATTGCAATTCCTTTGTTATCAGTAGTTCATGTGGAAAAGTTAAAATAATTTGAAAACAAGCCAACAAGTCCCAATAAAATAAACAAGACTTTCAAAAGAATGTAACATCTGGATTATATAATAATTTTGGATTATATTGGTTTCTATGTGGTTGGGGAAGAATTTGTTGGGCAGTTAGTGGTAAATCCACATCTGTTTTTCATCACAGGATCCCAGTGTTAATTTTTCCATTTTCACAGAGGAAGGATGTGTGTTGTGTGTGGAGAGTATTCAGACACAAATCCTAGAGCTAAGTTTTAAGCATTCCTGAATTAGGGGTGATTTGAGATTTTCAGTGCCTCATTGTTATGCATCTAATTTGGCACCAAGCTGCAAATTTAGCAAATTTTCAGCTGAATTTTATAAACAACATGTAAAAATTGGGCATTTTTTAAAAAAATGAAACTTATCCATAAGAAGATCTAGACAAATTCAGACAATATTTTTATTCTGTAATCCTGTGCCATATTGATGGAACATGGTAGGAAAGGTGATTCCATGATAGCAATACATTTAAACTTATACACCACTTCACAGTGCTTTACAGCCCTCTATAATGATGTTTGTTTGTAAACCTATTGTTTCTTCTATCCCATTTTTCTTTTTAGGGCAAATCCATTAATGAAGAAAAAGATGGAATAGCTGTACTTTGCCTTTTTGAGTGATATAATAGGGTGTAGACCTCCCAGTTTCCACAAAGGAAAAGGTTTTGAATATTTTAAAATAACAGCCATTACAAAAGGAAACAGGAAAGGAATGTCATACAAGTGCCTTCCTAAATTTCTCCTCAGAACATAATTTCATCCCTGCAGTTCAGAGGAATGATATTTTTCTTCTTTTTACTTAAATGAGATCTATACTGCTCATGAACCAAAATAACCTCATAGCAATTTGCAATGCATTAAAGCCAAACCACAAACAGGTTCCCTCTCCACATTAAATGATTAGGGGGGGGGGCTAGTATGCAAGCTAATAAGGTTACAGAAGCATTTCTCCAAGCAACAGAGGCAAATTTCCATCCATCCATCTTCTAGTTTTAGAAAGAGGCCTCTGGACAAATAATTTTATTTCTTTATTTATCTACTTATGTAGACTTATAAGCCAATCACAGATGGTGACTTGATAGAGCTGAATGAACTTCTTCTAAAAATCTTTGTGAGGGCAAGGGATTTGTAACCACACATCTTCCGTTCCTTTCTGAAGGAAAAAGAATAGAGAAATACTGAAATAATCCTTTGGTTGCCTCCTCCCTGCAATTTCCTGTTTTCCTACAGATGCAGGGGACCATGCGGTTGTGGCTTTCCATGATGACACTTGCCCTGTGCTTGCTGATCTGTCTGGGAACATTGGCAGAAGCTTATCCCTCTAAACCAGACAGCCCTGGTGAGGATGCACCTGCGGAAGATATGGCCAGGTACTACTCAGCATTGAGGCATTACATTAACCTCATAACACGGCAAAGGTAAGTGCCAGGGTAACATTCAACGTAAAAAAGGGGAGGGTTATGATAGGATTATTTATTGTATTTTTTAAATCTTGCATTGTCTTCATAAAGATTTTTTTTACCAATTTCCTCCATATAAGAAAATGAAAGAATTTGAACATAGTTCCATTTAGATCTTATATAACTTGTATTTCCTATTCAATTATGCAGAAAAAATGGAGAATTGTTCCAAATGTATGTTTCTCAAATGAAACTAGATTAGTTGTTCCTGGTGAAATTTCCTTCCTATGAAACTATGAAACACTGTTTTTCTCTGAAAACACTATTGACAAACAATGAGACTTCCCTGTTAACTTTGTCCTTTATTTTAAGGAATCTAGAGATTGCCAATCCTAACTGGTTGTATTCTTGAATTTTCTTTTCAGGTAAACTGTAATAAAAAGTTCAATACTATTGCAAACCAATATTCAAAACATGTGGCATTGATTTTATCTCAATGGTGGTGGAAATATATTAAGTGAGGCCCATTGTGGTCCATTGTTTTTTTTTAAAAAATAGGCATGGATCCGTTTTTCTCTCCAACAGCAGTGAGATAGAGCTGTAAATTTCACTATTCCTTCCCTCTCCCTTTCTTAATAACTTTGATTGTCCAATAATCTAAGCTGGGCTAGCATATGGAATAAAGAAAGTATCTTTGTATTGGGGGTCAAACTTGTGATGGATCTATGTATTTTCATTTACTTTTTTTGTAACAGCCTCCAGCCTCTGCAGCCTCCCTGATTTATACTGGAATTAGATTCTTCCAATGGGACTTTTTTCAGATTAGGAAGTATGAATAGCTAGGTAGCTTCTGAATGTGGAAAGATACACTGTACAACAATAAAAAGCATCACCTAAAATCAGTCACCTTGCAATTATTAAAGACTTAAATTATCCTTTAATAATTTTCAAAGCAACAAAGTATAAGGTAGAAAATAGAGGATATTTCAAGGAAAAAAGAGTTATATAAACCCTGTAATAGTTCTATTATTACTTTTCGTTAATCTATCTGATTTTGTTAATCTTGCTCAAATCACGATGCATAGCTGTTTGACTCTAAGCATGCACTATCAGAAGGAAGAAAATCAATCTTATATCATGATGAAATGCAACCCTTTTTTATAGCTTATGCTTTTGCCAGTTGGAGTTCATTCTATCAACTTTCTAGACCATAAACATGTATGCAATAATAAATGTGTTATTCTTTATGGTGGTTGTAAGACTGTTGTCTTTACTGCAACAGGCTAACAGAGTGCCCATTCTTAAGAATGTAGAAAAAGATCAGATTTTTTATTTGTTCTTGCTTGACCTCACTTTGCCATCATCAGCCCAATGTGGAGCTGTCACTATAAATGGAGTTTGAACTTTTGAAAATAAAAGTGAATGGCATTTGAGCCTATCAATCCTAAGCAAACATTCTTACGAGAAAAAAGCAAAGAGATCAAGAAGAATTTTGTGTGTTCATATTGTGGAAATAAAGAATAAGATCCTGCTTTATCTAAAATTTTCAGATGCAAGTATGTTGTAGATGAGGAACTATGACCCTGATACTGAGCATTGGTTGGAGAGATTATTTTAATGAATGTAGCAGTGCTGAGGTACATTGCTTAAATTTTTTTCAACGAAGTTGAATACTGGCACTCAGGAGACCATATGAATAAAGGCAGCTCATGGACTGTATACCCCCATCTCTGTTCTCTAAGTTGATCCTGCTCCCACACTTTTATCTATGAATTTCTGTGTACCACTTTCTTTTTTTAGGAAGTAAATATGAAGATAAAAATTAAACAAATAAAAATTGTTATCTAACCTCTCCACAATTTTGGCTTGATCAGCAGATCCCCACCCAATTTTTTTTACTATGTAACAGGAGAAAAACCTCAAATAATTCTAACAGTTATAGTCAAAAGTGGCAGAAACAAATGGGAACTATGTCAGATCTTAGCATTGTAAGAATCTTAAGGAATTTTATATGTGAATGATAACTCTTAAGGCTTGCATTTTAAGACCGGGCAGAAAGTTTTTCTTGCTCATTTTGGGCACCCAGTCTTTACATAATTTTCTGGGAATGTTTCAGTAGACACAATGTGTAAATAGACTTCTTAGTACATATATTCACACTTGTATCATTAATAGTGAATCTCTGTATGCCAAAATGTTATTTAACTATTTATATAAAACTATTTGTATATCACAGAAATTAATCAACTGAAAGCATTCCTATAAAAAATTTTTTAAATCTTTTTATAACACTTGACTTGTGTCTGTGTTTGTGTATAAAAAGACTATATAAAATGGAGCCAATAGATCCTATGGACTGAACGATTCAAATGGGACACCATCTTTGCTTAAATAACTGCTTAAGGGCATTTTTATCTTAAAAGTGTCTGGATTTCCTATTATACATTTGCTGGATAGTGTGGATTCTTCATTGCAAAAAGAGAAATATAGGTAGTCCTTGACTTACAACCATTTGTTGAGTCACTGTTAATGTTACAATGGCACCAAAACAGCAATTTATGATCATTTTTCATACTTACGACTGTTGCAGAATTCCCATGGTCAGGTGATCAAAATTCAGCACTTGGAAACTGGTGTTATTTATGATGATTTCAGTGCTTGGGGTCCTTTTGCAAACTTCTGACAAGGAAAATCAATGGGGAAGCCAGATTCACTTAACAACTGGATTACTTAACAACTGTAATAATTCACATAACTGTGGCAAGGAAGTTGTAAAATTGGCAAAATTAGTGTCCTGCCTAGCGACAGGAATTCTTGTTTCAATTTTGGTCATAAGTTGAAGGTTACCTATTCAATGTCAAAAATGTGATGTTATTTGCATATAAATTTTACATGCTATTTACACATAAAATACACCTATAATTTATTAGAATTGAAATTTAAATACAATACTTTGTGACGGAGATTAATCAGTTGATTTATACACTATCCCTTTCAATTGATTGTAGAGGTGCAACTTCCATGCCCATTTTCTCCCTTATGATTCTATTTCCTTAAAATAAACATGGATTGGACAGCCTGTCAAATAAAAGTTAGAATTCAAAGGATGCTACAAGGAAGGGCATACATGCTGCATGTATTTATTAGTGAATAAATGTCACTTTAAAGGATTGAGATTAAGTCATAACAAGAGTAGACCCATTCAAATCAGAGATTTCTGAACAGTTCACTCTAGAGAAATCAATCAAGATTTAAACTGTTGGATGTATTTTTTAAAATGGCTATCATGTTTTATATATTTTTCTGAGATTTCCAAGTTTTAATTAAAAAGTAGACTGCGTATTGTAAAAGAATTAGTTGAGAAAAAGATCTTTAGATGCATATATATTGGAATTAACTTTTGAAGAAAAGTCTTAAGAAAAGAGAGGGAAACATACTAGATCTATGGATTATTTTAATATTTCAATGTTATAAATTAAATAATAGAAATGAAATTCAGAAGTAAAATCTCTCCCTTTTAATGTTTTAATACTATAATTCAACTGGATATGAGATATCCCATTTAGATCCAAGAACTGATTATAACATAGTCCAGTTGGACTCAACCACTAATTGATTTACAGTTCAGAACAAATAAGATTTTATTAGATTTTTTTTTACTTACTCTGGACTTTTAGACCAGAAAGAATTGAATTAGAAGCTTGGAGGATAATATTACTCATTGAAGTTGTTTTAGCAAACACATAAATGATTGTACAGTAAAATGGCTAAAAAGATTTCAGAAATTGAATTTAATTTTTTTTCTTTCAGCATTTTGGTCTATTTTTTATTAAAAGTTTTCTAAAGAGAAAGTAAAAAATAAATACAAATTAATATAAAGTTCAAAAAATAAATTGGACAGAATCTTTAACTTAAAAAGAAAAAAGATACTGAGAAATACTTTTGATCTTCTTTAAAGCAGCTGTATGTACAATTATAAATTTACTTCTTACCCTACAGTTACAACATAGCTCTCTTCTTTCTGTTATTCTAATCATTGAAATCTTAAATCATGTTCCCTTTTTTTTGGTTTCACAATGTATAAGGGATTTCAAGTCAAAAATAAATGTAGATACTGTCTTTTCTCAGATCCAAGAAGTCAGAACCCAGCAAGTTCTGTCATCTTGACCAACCATTCCTCCATTGTGCTAATGCTGAATCTTTCCATCTTTGTGCATACAATAATCTTGCTGAAGTTATATTTTGCAAAAACAAAGTTCCATTACATTTTTCCAAAGCATTTTTAATGGCCCAGAATTGAAGCAAGGCTATTCTATAGACCAATATATCATGCATGAAACAGCAAACAATTCCTATAAAGTATTGTCATTTTCCAATCAGCAGTTATTGCTCTCTGTAGCCATACTCTGGTTCTTGTATTATGTTGTTGTACATGAATATAAAACAAATCAGAATTGTTTCTTGGATAGGATAGTTCTACACAAATGCAAACATAAGAAATTGATTGTGATGTTTTAAAATGTTAAAGTATACATGTAAGAAGATCCCTTTTATCACTATGATGGCCTTCACTGGTGCTGAACCTTGATTATTTAATAAGCCACTATGCAAGGTTTGCACAGAACTACAATACAAAGCAGCATACCATGCAATGACTTGCTTGAAATATGTGAATTCTGCTTGATTACACTTAAAATTATATCTAGAACAAATATTGAAATAAAATTCTTAATTGTGGGTTTTTGATGCCTCTTCTGCTTCTTACAATGAAGTTATCAATATATGTTGCAGTTGGGGGTTTTGTTTTTCATAGGGCTTGTCACAACTTGATCACAATTTGGGCTGATACAGAGTGACTGATTCAAGATCATGCAGCTGGTTTTAAATTATACTTCAGGTTTACTTCTGTTGTTGCTTGGTCAATGACAACAGAGGTGGAAGAGATCAGAAGGATGCCATGAAGTGATCTTTGAATAGTTTCCCCCATCACAGTCTTGATCTAAGGATACAAAGGCAGTCTTTCAAACTGATGATCCATCAGTTTGTAATGAAATGTCCAAAAGTATTCAAGGTTAATTTTTCAACATCACCAGCTCTTCTGTATGAGAGGACATTCCTAATATTTTCTGAAATATTATCTACAATTTATATCATTTGAGTTTAATAAGATACATCATTATTATTACGTTTGATAAAACGTTAAGTACCATGAGTAAGATGGGCAGCCAATAAAATTTACAAACAAATAAATAAATAAATAAATAAATGGAAAAAGAAGAGAAAGAAGAAAAAAGTATAATTGATCATAGACCAGTGCCTGCCTTGTTCTATTTTTGGATGGACTGAGAGTTTTAAGACATGAACAGGCCTATTAGGTAGAGAGTAATATTGCATCACGGTTCTTCCAAAAGTGGCTGGAAAGTTGAAAGTAAGCTTTTGTCATTATTCTATTTTAAAAAATATAAATTCCAGCTGCTAAAATAATTTTTTGTTTATCAGAGTTATATAGATCTGTACATAGAGATTTCTAGAAAACAGAAAATAAATATGTTATAACAAAAATGTTCTTCTAGCTGTATAAGTTAGAAATAAAACCAAGCAAAGCCAAACTGTGTAGAAGTATCTAATGGCATGTGTAATGAATCCTCAAATAAAAACCCTAGCAAAGTGTTCTGATGTTCCTGTACAGGAAACTTCTACAGAACAACTAAATCTGGTATATTCCAGTTCACAAAAGAAGCAATAGTACCCTTGTAATATGTGTGTGTGTGTGTGTGTGTGTGTATGTATGGCAGGAACTTTTTATCAGGCTAGATAAAATTAAATTATTGTAAACTTTAAGAATGCTGCAGTTAAGTCAGTTAAGAAAAATAACTGAATTAATGAAAAATCACTGTTACACTGAACACTCACTTTGAAAAAAATCCTTGAAATTGAACTAATTTATATTCAGTAGCATGAAATACTTTGTTTAGTTTAGATGAGAAAAAATAAAATCTGTAAAAAATGCAACAATGTGCATTCCAACTGCTACTGATAGAAAGAACACGTTTACAGGAAAGCATCCTGTGTGTAATAAGCAATTTCCATGTGTTAAGATTTACATGTAGAAATTCTCTGAGAAAAGGAATGTACAATTTCTTAAATAAAGAATAAAGTAGCAAATATAGAGCAAAATGAGTACAAAAATCTGAAAGAAAATTATTATCTAAACTTTTAATCAGTATGTTTCCTGGCTCTGTAGAACAGGAGGTGGGGGAGAATTTCTGCTAAGTTTCAAACAGTCTATTCTTTTCTCCTCTTTTGAAAAAAAAAACAAAAAAGCCCATCATTTGCTGACTTGAGATTGGCAGATTCTAAGTGTTTCTCACTGTGGGAAAGAATTTTGGGGGGGAAGGATTCATGCCCAGGATTGTTTGACCCTCTGACACACTCTTATGCATCTGTAGGATTCAGAGCATTCTTCCTGATCTGTGTCTAACTGATCAGTTTGGAAACTAACTTAATACTAATAAGAAACATCTGGCAAATCATGTCAGGCTAGAGTCTGTATTCTATCACCCTCACCACAGATATTAGCAAGGATTTTGACAGATGAGTTTAAAAGCCAACTTTGTGATTAAACAATGAGAAATGAAATTACTGTTATGTTCCATGTCTTCTTGCAATGACACATTAGCTTTTCCATTCTTTGGGGTGGGGGGGGATGACTTTTCATATTGTTTTCCAAAAGACATAATGTTGAAAAACACAATTATAGTGGGTAAAATGTTAGCAATTCAATGTAATTATTTTCTATGCCCATAGTCTTTTTCTTTAATAGCTCTAAAGCTTCCAGAAAGCAGCTTCGACAGATGAGAGACTCTGGACTCTTAAGACTAATATGAGATTCTTGAGAAAGAAAAATTCAGAACTAATTTTTACTTTGTAGCAGCAGCTACAAAGCTTGTCAGCATTCATCATTAACTTCTCTTTACCAAGACTCTCCTCTCGCATTTGCTAACTGAACAGAATGAGCTTCACATATTTTGAGGCTATTGCATCTAATTCTCAACCTGGTACTTCTAAAATGATCCAAGTTGACATGGAACAGTGGAAATAAATGTCTACCACATGCAAAAGGTACCAGATTTGGTGAAGCCTGCCTAATTAGTAGATTGAATATTAAGCACATTTTTGTCATGTGGGATACAGATGTTTTAGTGCCAGCTCCTATCAGTCACCAACTATATTTACAAAAATGTCCTGATTTCTTGATAATATACAGCTGAGATGGTATATTTTACAAATGTATTTATCTGATTTCTTGATAATGAGCAGACACATGAGCATTTTTAAATTTTGAGTGAGTAAATTATCCTTATGCATAGTGAGTTTATATGCAAAGAAGTCTTTAAACCATCAAGTCATCATGCTGTACTAGTAATATTGCATAAATATATCTCCATTAAAATCCATCAATATAGTAAAAATATGTTACCATGTTCTAGTTTTTCCTCTTCCAAATATAAACAATGGATTTAACTCTTGAAGGATACATAATAAAAATGACACTCTTAAGGAATCTATTTTTATTTTGCTTTCTTGCTTTGGATGAAGAAGAAATGTTGTCTTAAAACTGCAAGAGTAGAGCTGCTTAAATAAAATGATTTGAGCTCAGTTTCAGGCATGTGAGAATGCCAGTTTTGCTCAAACTATTTAGTTATAGAAAATAAATCTTTTCTTTTTAAACACATCTTATTAACTGAATCCAATAAATCCTTTGTTATAGTTACATTTCTTTAAAATAAATAGAATCCCTGGACATTATTATTAAATTTCTCTGCTGCTTAAGGTAGGTCCACTGGTCCATATTTTGGGAAAGACATGCAGAAACAAGCCACAGGCCATTCTAGATTAATATTTGAATCAGCTGTATAATGAAATAAAATACCGTGTTTGCAATTTAATAATGCAGCTGGTTCTCTTCACATTCTTTATGAAAGACACACTTTGGCTTTTGAAGTTTTAGAGAAACACTGAAAAATATCTTTGACTATACAAGTATGCATACAATTGCAACAAAAACAATATTTCTAAATCTAGATCTGCTGATATTTTGTAAGTTTTACTAGAACTTTCTTCTGCAGCAACTGAATAGTTTTTATTGCATATATTTTTCCCTTTTTCTTTCTCCTGACTTATAATACTTCTTTTTAAAAGTCTGTCTTTAAATTTTAATTCACTGTCCATAAAATGAGGTTCTGTAGGTTGCTTGGTCAAATGATATGCTGCAACTGCTGGGATAGATAGTAGCAGAAATATGCTATCTCTTTTTTTTTAAGGTAGAACAATTATTCTTTAGAAAAGTTAGCTTGATTCCTTCTCAGTTGTGTTTTATGGACACAATGATGATCGTTCTGTATCATTAAGCTTTTAATCATCATTTAATGTTTCATATCATTCTTAACTTTATCTTCTCATACTTAACTATTACCGTATTGTATAATACGGTATAATTATTTTCTGCCATACTGGCTGAAGTTGAAGAAGTTGTATTCCAGCATATCAGAAGATGCAACATTGGGGACAATTACTGAGTTCTGACCAGCAGTGTGTCTTCAAAGAGTTTTTTGAGTCCAGTATTCTTGGATTTTTTTATGTGCAGATGGCAGGATTAAATACAGATCCTTTGTTTAGAAAGCTTATGTATTGTACCTTTGTGGATTACATGTGGGGGAGGGACAATGTTTAGATTGTGTTTTAATTTTCATTTAGTAGTTAAGCTGAATTGTTATTAATACTAGACCTTATATATTATATATTTTTCTTCAATTGATCTGTAAAACAGTATATATTATAATGGTTGGAATAATAAATATGCAATGGAATGTTGGTGACAATTGTGCATATTCATACTTGTTTGGTGCTTTAAAAAAAATCTAACAAATTTAATTTTTAAACTCATTTAACAGATATGGGAAACGATCCAGCCCAGAGACACTGATCACCGATTTTTTGTTGAGAGAAAGCACAGAAAACATTCCTAGATCTAGGTAATAGAAAAGTAACTTTCTGTAGTTTTTCTTGTAAGTTGCTTATAACTTCATTTGCACTGTAGACTACACTATATTTAATTTAAAGCCCAAGTTTTACATGGACAAATCTGGGATTTTACCAATTATGGAATGTTCAGTTCTGTATCAAACATTGAAGTATAACAAATCTTACTTGGTCTTTGAAAAGAAAAGAAAGGAAAAGAAAAGAAAAAGAAGGAACACGTCTCACTCCATTGGTCCTATAAAGCACTTGGTGCAAACATGTCACTGAAAATTCACTTCTTACATTCGCATTTAGATTCTTTTCCTTTGAACTGTGAAGGTGTGAGTGATGAGCATGGGGAGAGATTCCACCAGGATATTGCAGGCATGGGGAAAAGATATCAAGGAAATGGAGTCTATCCATGCTTGCCGATTACTGCTGGAATCTCCCTAGGGACAATCCTACTGCAGTTCACAAGAGAAAAGCCAAAAAGTGCAGTTTAGATACCGAATAAAAATGGAAGCTTGTTGTTTAATCTGATGTTAAAGCTTGTCAATTTTTCATGCAAAAAGCATTAAAATGTTACATGAAAAACCAATAAATGAATGGAAAGCTTATTATTATTGGTATCAATAAAAAGACAAATGTATAATGATTTGTGTTGGCACCATTCTCATTGCTATATCACATTTTGCAGAAAAGTTATGGAGCATAATTGCACATCTGCTTCGTAATCTTGAATTATTTTGATGCAATTTTGATCTGAAGCTTATCTTGGAAACTGGAACCAATTAGTACTCAGAACTTAATTTTTCTTTATTAGTGACCCAATTCTGACAAAATTAAGCTGCTTTCATTTCTGAGGCTTTCTCCTTGTAGATCAGTGTTATCTGAAAAGAGTTTTTTTCCACTACTAAGAAGAGAGAGATATCATCTCTTATTCAGAAATGCTTTAATTCCCAGCCATCTTAGATTCAAATGAAATTGCAGAAATGAACAACTTGCCTTCTTCAAATGCAGAATTTTAAAATTATTTCTAAATGGATATAGGCACAACAGATAAATGTCAGTGGTTTGGGGTAAAACTATAAATGTCAGACTATAGTAAATGTTGGCAGCTATCATTCTGCAGTTATTCTCTCTGAATACTCCCCCAGTTTCTTTCTTTTTTCTGCATGGGAAGAGATTCATGTTCTGGGATATATCCATTTTCTGTGTCTCCCCCCCCTTGCCCTTCTGTTTCCCCCCTTTCTTCTACACAAAGGCCATATCCCATAATAAATATGCATTCTTCATCCCTGTATATAAATGGGTATAAATTGATAAGGGTGCGACAAAGAATTCCTATTATGTAGAGGCAAGGAGAAAAAAAAACAGAAAATGGATGTATACCAGAAGAAAAGCCTCCATTATGTGTTTTTATAGACAGTAAGGCAAATGGTTGTTTTCAATAATTCCTCCATATCAGTTGCTGGCCAATGTAATCCTAAACAGATGAAAAAAATGTCCCTCTCCCCATTCTATCTGATATGATGGGATAGATTTGTATAAAGGTTATAACTCAGATCTGAGAAATGTGGCAGTAAGATTATGCTCAGTCACAGTCACGAAGTTTTCCCACTGCATTATTCAGTTGGTGAAACCTTATTCAGTTGAACAGAGCAATTACCTATCTTTGGATTTTCGACATCAGCACAAAAAAGTAAGAGCTAGACTATGTGTTATACACTTCCTATGTTTATAAAGTGAAATAATAGGAGGATCTTGATTGCAATTGATCCTTTCAATTGTACTTTCTTATTACTTTGCATATTGTTGACCCCCTTGATGTGGCCCTTGGAGCTATTCTGATCACAATCCCTTATTGGTTTGAAATAAAAGTTGATAACACACATACATAAAAACTGCTAAATGCTTTGCCTTGTTCTTCTTTTGTCAACTGAGTGTCCTTCATAAAATTTGGGACTTTAACTTCCAAATATTGAGAATATTTAATTATTCTGGCTCAGAATCCTGATAACTTGATTTCTAGTATACTTGGAAGGCCAAAAATTGAGGACTTATGTTATGTAATAGAATCCAAAAATTTAGCATCTATCTCAGAGAAGATGTTCAAACTGTCACGTAATTTCTTTGTACGTGTTGTACAATCTATCACGATGTGGACATAATTTATAGGCTGTTGGACACTTGCTTTCTCTCATATGATGAATCAGGAATAAGGAATCCATGTTCTCCATTTCCCTGGCTATTACCCATGCTGGCTGAAGCTGGTGGAACTGCAATCCAGCAACATTTATCAGTCAAAAATATCTCCATTTTTAATTTATTCACTGAGTCTAAATATAAAGTAACTTGCGTGACTAAATTCTCTTAAACTTACTGATACTTATTCCAGAGTAAGGAGCAGTAGGAAAATATAAAATAATATGTCTGAAATAATTCAATAGTTTTTACAGAATCATTATGCAAGTTATGTATAACTAAATAATACATTTTAAATATAAACATGATTCATTATATTGTTAGGATAATGATCCCGCATGCAAAAAAGAAAAACAGATAAGTTCTACTTATTAACACATGGCTAACAATTCAATTGCTTAATGAGTTTAAACCTAGCTATTTTCTTTAGTGGTTATAAAGCTTTTTAATTTTCTTGCAGAGACATCTGAATCTTTTCCTTTTTTGTTGTAGGTATGAAGATCCTGCAATGTGGTGATGGGTGTCACATCTCATACTTCTTTCCTGGTTTCCATTCCACATGCCATTGGTAGAAGATCAGTTGGAAGTCCACCCACCAGTGCATGCAGTCATTGTCCTGAATTCTGTAGGTTTTTTCTCCCTATTTGGTCCAGGGGCTCACTTTTAAGAATTGATTCCTATAACATTATTTATTTCATAACTCTTGCTGCCTATGACACAACTGAAAAAAAATAAAATTATGTGGAAAGTGCATATTTCTCTAATCTGTGTACAGAATATTATTTATTGTCTTGACAACTCTATATATTGTATCACTTTTATGAGAAGGAAAGAATCTATTAATATTCCAGTGGAATATTCCAACTAATTAAGAAATGCATGCTAATATCCTATTTTAAGATTATCTACAGGGAGGAGGGGGTGGAAGAAATAAGAAAACAGAAATATTTTTTTAAGAAAACATATATAATTAATTTGCAAAGATTAAACATTACTGCAGAATCTGTTATTTCTTAGTAGAATATAGCCTGTCACCAATAGGTCCAAACTTTGTGGGTCCACATGGAAGAACATCTCTCCAGTGCTACTGAGAACTGAGAATAGCCTATCAGCTTTCTTGCCAGCCAAGTTGTCCCTGCCATAGTCAGAATCATGGCATAGTGGCTGACAGTGCTACTTTGCTGTATTCACACCAGAGGTGGTATTCAGCCAGTTCTGAGAGGTTCTAGAGAACTGATAGCAGAAATTTTGAGTAGTTCGGAGAACCAGTCAATACCACCTCTGGTTGGCCCCGCCCCCATCTATTCTCTGTCTCCCGAGTCCCCGCTGATTGGAGTCCCAGCTGATTGGCTGAGACTTTTGTTGCCCTGCACAAGAGGACGGAGCTGGAAAGCAGGTTTGTGGGGTGGGGAGGGAAAGGGGATTTTACAGTATACTTCCACTGGAGTGGGGTGGAAATGGGGATTTTACAGTATCCTTCCCCATTACACCCACCAAGCCATGCCACACCCACCAAGCCATGCCCACAGAACCCGTAGTAAAAAAAATTTGAATACCACCACTGATTCACATATAATGCCATGTTCTGGCTTTTAAAATTATAATTTAGTGAGTAAACCATTACTAGCTAACATCACATAACTGATTGAGCCAAAACCAAATAAACTATTATTTACATGTTCTAAATAAGGCCAATGATTTTCATCTTATCCCTATTCTCCCAGATATATTTATCTCCCTGTTTCCCCCAGATGTATTAATGTCTGCCTGCCCACCTCTCAAATTATGCCCTCATAATAATTATGGGGGCAGAGTCAATATACCTGGTCTCTGTTCTATAATGCATGACTGTGATATCTCTTTCTTCAAAGATAATTTCTGGTACTTTCACTGGGGACTCTTATCCTGAGGAATTTCTCCATTTCCATAATTTGTTTGTGTGTATTTTAATCAGTCCTGATTCCTGGTGACTGCTTGGACTAGTCCTTGCTGTTTTCTTGGCAAGATTTCAGAAGAAAAACCACTTACTAACTGACAATTCCCATATTTATTATGTAGTATTAAATTATATAAAATACCTAAATTTGCCCACCACCACGTATAGAAAACTGACACATTCATGGTAAGGTTGCTTGTTTTGGAGCAGAGTTGGATCTAGAAGGTACTTGGACAGAAGATCATCAAGAAATCCTACAGCTATAGACTAGCCTGAAGAGTAAAAAAAAAACATCCCAGAAGAAGGAAATGGTGATTGCCTTTGGCATGAAAGAAGTCCTAATATAACAGCAGTGTTTATTTGGACACGTTAGCCAGTTACATTATTTAGTTATGATGGAATGTATGCTTTTCATGTGGAAAATTTAGAAAATAAGATCTGTATTTGAAAGGCTGGAATGACAGATAATGGAGTCCTGGTGAGAATAATTTAATTTGCCCTGCTCTATTTCTTCCTTGTAAGAAGATTGGGAACTAATCTTCAAGATGGCTGCACCACTGCTGGCAAGGCCCATAGAGATTGATGCTTAATTCCAGGCTTAATTAGGCAGAATGCTAGAAATGTCTCAAACATTGCAGTGGAAGCTTCATTTTTTTAAAAAATGGGCATGATTTTTTACTATTTCTCATTATGATACAAAGATCCTAAAAGTAGAAAAGGAAAAAAAATCATTTTTCCTATGAATTAAATTTTACAACTATAATTTGTTTAATCATTATTTTTAAATAATCCATGTCCTCTGGGATGACACATCTTTAATTGATAAAAACCATGGTTTGTAAATTATTGTGTCTGTATTCATATAATACGCTCACCCAATAACAATAAACTACCTTATTATAATTTGTGAACATACACTTTCTGCCTCTAACAATGTGCAAATGGAAATAGAAAGGAGTAAACTCATTTCATGGATTTGTAGCAAACCATGGAACTGCTAGTATAGTCCAGCAAAAATTTGATTGCTTAAATGATCCCATATATCAACTCCTTCAAGTTATAAAAAATGCTTGAGCAGCAAATGGAAAATAATGAGCCTGTGTTCAATACTTATTATTAGTGTCATTAGGACAACCTAGCAACACCAATTTTGCTTCCTGGAGCAAAGATTGTCCATCTCTCAGTTGTCTTTTATGCATCTCCTCTCTTCCTGCAAAATTCCAAAGTGTTGCAAAACATACAGATGACCAAAAGAATCTGAACAATGCAATAGAGTAGTGATAGTCCTTGTTTAATGATAACTCATTTAGCATTGACCACAATTTGGGTATTTGGATACTGGCACACATAATGATCAAGCATTGTCTGGTCACATGATCACCATTTGAAACCTTTCCTGTCAGCTTCTGACAAGCAAATTCAAAGGGGAAGCCAGCAGGAAGTCTCAAATGGCAATCATTGGCATTGCGCCTATTGACCATACAGCATTTGCTTCATGACGGCAACTGGAACTGATGTTGTTAGTTTGTGTGTTTATGAGATGTTACACTTTGGGACTACACATTTTAGAAATGGAGTTGCTGGTCCCAATTGCCATAATTAAACAAGGATTACCTGTATGTAGACATAATAGACATATTTTGCTGATGCCCAGTGATGCAAATTTATATCTTTTAGCCTAGAGTCTAAAACATACAAAGAATGGTTGCTGGAACTGGATATGTCTAGTCTGATGAAAAGAAGGACTAGGGGTGGAATGATAGCAGTCTTCCAATATCTCAGGTGCTGCCACAAAGAAGAGGGAGTCAAGCTATTCTCCAAAGCACCTGAGGATAGGACAAAAAGCAATGGGTGGAAACTAATTAAGGAGAAAAGCAACCTAGAACTAAGGATTTCCTGACAGAACAATTAATCAATGGAACAACTTGCCTCCAGAAATTGTAAATGCTCCAACACTGGAAGTTTTAAAGAAGAGATTGGATAACCATTTGTCTGAAGTGGTGTAGGTTTTCCTGCCTAAGCAGGGAATTGGACTAGAAGACCTCCAAGGTCCCTTCTAACTCTATTATTCTGTTCTGTTCTGTGCTGTTCTAAATTACTCTGCTTTGAATGGCTAAATTAATTGACATTGAACATACAGCTTACAAATGTCATTATGCTTAATGTCTGGAAATGCAAATGTAAACAACATTACCATAGGAGGTCATGAATGCATGACCAATTTCAAACTCACATGTTTCTTCCTTAATCAAACAGATCTTATGAAACTAATATTTCAAAACGGCATACGTTCAGACAACTTTAATCTTAATTTAATGGGTGTGTGTTATCGCTGTAACCATATGCTAAAAATTTAGTTAAAAATTAATGTTAGAAAATAGTTCCAAGCAGGCCACCTGGAATAATAAAGGCACAGTTATTGCTTCTATCATTCTTCAATAAGAGTTATTAATTTTGCCATGAGTTAGTACATCAGGGTTTTTCCATTATCACACTGCTTCTCATAATTCCTCAAGGCTTTAGGCAGGATCCCAAATTAACACAATTTCCTATTATTCACAGAATATTAATTGTCTGGTAGGCCACAGCTCTTCTTTTCAGACTGAGAACATCTGTTAAGTCATGGGGTGACATCAGTCAGAAACGAGTCATCCTTCTGGATTTACACTTGGCTGGATGTTCTCATCTTTTATTTGCTCTCTTGCCTGGACTCCAAACCAAATGTGGGAAACTAGCGAAACTTATGATTAAGGTTCTTGCACAAACTATGTGTTTGCTGCAGTGTGAATTTAATATAACTCTGCATTGAAATGAAGAATTGTATTTAAAATGGCATAAAACTCCAGCTGAGATAGGACTGCCTTATCTAGCTAGTCCAGAAGTACCATTTACATTTCTTTCCCATGTCAGTGAAGGCTTATTTTGCCATAGCACTTCTGTTCTCAAAATGGTGCTTTCTTTTTCAGAACTTTTGCAACATCATATGAATGTTTTTTAAGTATCAGCTGGGGAGAGTTATTAACTAACGGCTACTTCTAAAAGTACTGAGATGATTGACTTTTTATACAGATAATTCTTTTAACATATTCTCTTCTTCCAGTAGCCCTCTTCACTTTCCCCAGGCAATTCAGCTATTCTTTTGGGATAGTCTGTGGCTCCCAGCCTCCATAATAGAAGAGAACCTTTTTTCATTAAGATTCTTGATTATGGAGCCTCTCCATACTTAGTTCTTACTGGGTGCTTCCTCCAACATCTGTCTCTGTCCCAGGAAGCAGAAATCTTCTGTGTTGTGTTTTATTGTATTGATAACCAGCAATAACTAGGATAGCATCAGCCCCATAGCATTTTTCTTGTGGATGTCCATCTTCCTCAGGTTTCATGGGGCCAGGGCCAGTTTAGTCTCCACTCTGATTTCTCTCTCCCAACACCTTAATCCCTACTACTATGTCACCCTCTCCTTTCCTCTCTTCTGGCTTCCTGATCTCCAAAGATGACTACCTGGCTGGTGATTCTCACTATCCATCAGTGAACTACCCAGTCTCCTTGTTTCATATTTAATTGGTTACTCAACCTCTCCTGAAAATTAATTTATTATAAAGATTATGGACTGTATCTGTACAGCTTAAGGAGGGGAAATAGCAAGCAGAGCCAGAAAGCAAACAAACATCAAAGCAATCTAGATAATGTGGCCTTTAATATATAAAGACCAGTAAGTTTGGAACTAGAGTAGCCCTGAAGAAAGTATTGGGTGAAAATTGCACCTAAACAACAACAGCAACA